TTTTTATGCAGTGCAACATTCAGGTAAGGAATAATGCCTGGGCTGGATGTGTAAGGCAAATTTCAGCTAATTCATAGTGTGAGGGAATTTTAATTTCAGTTTTTTAACTTTTCAGGTAAATGCTTTGCTTACATTTTCTATCCTTTAGTTTTGAAAATGACTGATTTGGAACTCCACCAAAAAAAATTGGTCACGAGAGAGCAAAACCTTGATTGTGTCTTTATACTAGACAGAAGCATATTATTATAACCCCTTAATGCCTCTGTTCTGGATCAGTTGGGTTAATCATCTTTTTAACTATGCAGCCCTGTTTCTTGGTTTGTTTAATGCAACAAGCCAGGAGTACAAGGGGGAGCAAGGGGTGGTAGAGGTAGAAACAACAACAACGACCTCAACAACAATCCTTTATTTTACCCTTCTTCTTACAAATTGATCATCACAATTAGTTAAAAGTTATAACTGAATAAGGGTAATGCCAACCAGAAATAACCAATGGGTTAAAAATGCCAAATTCCCAGTTTACAAGCTGACTACCGGTATGCATAGTACTTTGATTTATGCCAAATAGTGATAATGAAGGCACTCTACCACGGTTTTCCATAAATACCTCTTACTAACCGAGTTCGAGGCCCATACTGTAAGTTATGGAACAATTAGTTTTTTCCCCTTTGATTTATGGCCCAAGAATGAAGCGCTTGGGGCATAAATCAAGGGGAAAAAATGAGGATCCCTAACTTACATTACAGACTGAGAAGACGAGGTTAGTAAGATATTTATTATATCTCTACTGTGTGCCTGACAGGCTCGGGAACCATTTCTATTCATGCAGAATGGCTTCAAATTTCTGACCCACCTCGGAAGCAAAACAAGTCAATTTGAAATCATTTTTAAGTCGTATGTCGCACGCTTTAATACACAATTTAATGTAAAAGAAAGTTTTAAATTTTTACCCGCCATAAAAGTTAAAAACACTTGGCGATATGCCAAGTGTTAAAAACACTTGGCGACACGAAACAGTTTGGCAACAAAAACAACTTTTAATTTAAGCAGGCTGCACAGGAGAATACAGCCTGCTAAACTGATCAATTGCACAGCATGGTTTTACAAACTGAGAGATATAATAATTATGCATGCTTATGTTCCAGTTAGTGATATAAATCTAGTAAACTTAATCCTTGTAGAGTTGTAGCAAATACTTGAATGACTGTACATGTTGGTTTCACACACACCCGTGCATACATTACGCCTTGCTGATATAACTCTGAAACAATATTTCTAATATGTGATTGGTTACGACACTACATTCCTGTTAAAATCAGGTCATTTAAACAAATGCATCTAATCTTCTGTTTCTTGGTCCATAAGCATTACTGTTATTTGTACAATTTTAATTGTATTTTTTAGTGATTTTAAATGCACATCATTTCTACAGGTTGGTGGGAAAATGATGATCGCAGTGGCAAGGGCACTTATCAATATGCCAATGGTGATGTGTACGAAGGAGACTGGAAAGATAACAAAAGACATGGAAAAGGAATCTACCAATGCTCTGCGACGAAACTCAAAGTTTGTTATCCACTAATTAAAAAACAAATTGACCATGATTATGCTTTTGAGGTGATCAGAAATTAAGCTATTGAGGAGTTCTTTCATGTCTTGCATTCTGTTTGTTTTTCATTCAACATACAATGTATCTTTAAAATAAAGTTTTTACTGGTCATTCCTTTTAAACTTGGACAGCTTTTAAATACCATAATGACAGCTTTCCTTACCCTTTTCTGTACTTCAGTTTGGGAAATCTTTACCTTTTAACATACCTCCAGCCTGAAAAAGCTATCTCTTATGGACAGAGCCTTCCTGTAAAGCCCACCATAGGGAACAACATCCCCACCCCGCCCCCCTCCAAGGTGCCTGAATGACTCCGTTGTTATCCATACCGATAAAAATTCATTTTTTTTTTGTTTAAAAGTATGATGGAAACTGGATAAATGGAAAGCTTAATGGACCAGGAAATATGGTTCTACCAAGTCATGTTTACCTGGGATCCTTTTACGAAAATGTGGTGAGTAGTTTGTTTTTCCATCTTTTTCTAAAGAACCAGACAAATAACCCAGACACATACACTGTAGCTAGCTGAAATCATGAATTGGATAGTGATTTTCACTGGCAGCTGACTATTGTTGACAACTCTGCATTCAAATCTTACTTGTTGTTGACCTGTGGCTGTTGTTCAGTGGACAGGAACAGGAAAAAATTAAGTATTTCTTTTAGCCAAAATAAAAGATGGGTCTCCAGGGACCCATTTCTCAAAGGTCCCGAAAAATTTTTGCAACCAGAAAGCCGGAGCAAAATCTGAAACCTTATGATTACAGAGCTGTTCTTTTCAGCTATTCTTAGTATAAACAGAGGTTCCATTCCATACAAGAAGTTTCAGACGTGTACACCTCTCTGTCTTTAAATACCGATTAACTAAAAATGGCTTTTCGGGCCTGAAAACTTTGCGGGGCTTGCGAGAAACAGGCCCCAGGTGTCCTGTGGACAGTCACTTTCTAAAGAAAATTGTTTTATTTTCATATGTTGCCTTGTAAATTGCTCATTTGAGCAGGCCCTATTAGACAGCCACTTTTCTTTCCCCTAAAAGCCTGACTGAAAGCCATCTTGTTTTGTGCAACTCTGAGAGTAGATTGGTAAAGATGATGGGGAAAATGACTAATTCTTTCTCCAGGATATTTTATAACTTCCAATAAAAATGTCGCGTTGTAATTTTTACTTGGTAGCCCTATGGCCCTGGACGATATGTCTTTGACTTTGGTGTTGAGCAACATGGGGAGTACACCATCAAAGAGAAGGTATTTTTGGATGTAATTTAATCAATATCAAACAGGATGTAGACAATTAGCCTGCATAGCTGGCAGTTTGGGTGGGAGAAATTTATTCTTTACAGACTTTACAGTCAAGACAAGAAAGCATTCCTACCTATAACAAAGTAAAGAATTTATTAATGGGAATTTGATTTCATTCTTTTCTTCAATATTCCATTGTAGAAATGAATGATTCAACATTCAAACTGCATTTCAATTCATAAGTCATGTGTTGAGTCGAATAGTGTCTGGCCTCACCTGACAGGAGCAATAATAATAATAATTTTATATACTGCTTGTTTGTAGAGAATTGTTACAAGAGATGAGGTGCAAATTACAGAGGTTCCAGTGTGGACATGCCAACCAGATTTACAGCCCCTTGGTTCGTAGGGGTGAACTAAAATATAGTAGATTACAAAGAGACAATGTTTTTGATCAACACTTTAACCAACATTAATTTAGGTTCTGTTGAACAGAAACACTCCATTACAACACAATGTTAGTTTTGTGTCATATTTGTTTAATCATTTCAGTGCAAGGGAGTTTAAATGACTTGTAAATGACTTCCATTACTCCAGACCAGTCTTAGGAAGGCTTAGTCCTGGTAAATAATTGTGAAATATAAAGGAATTTTATTAAAGATGTAAACCTACAGGGCAATCAATTTTGCGTGCACTTTACTGATTTTAGTGTACTATTTTTTTGACTACATTGGAGTACTGTAATGTTTTATGGCTTCTATAAACAAATTGGGCCCAAAGTGCACAGTACATTTATTACATACACTCAAGTGCAGTCAAATTTAAAACATCAGTTACAGTAGCTATCAGTCCATGGCATGCCTTTCATAAATCATGGTTCTGAGCCAGTTAGCATGTAAAAATTGATGGTGAATGGATGTGAAATAACCAGAAAATGCCTGCGGGATGCCTTTTATAAACCAT